ATTTACAAACACCAAATTGTAAAATAATTTCCTTAACAAATTTTTAAAAGTTATGATGCACTGAGTAATACTAACGATCAGCTGCGACTTTTAAAAAGACATGATTCTTCTAATTACGGTAGACCAATTTTCGTCTCAAATGCATTCCGTTCCGTAACTCTCAACTTCAACTGAGGAGCACCGTCAGATTGTTGTATTTGTAGAGCAAGAAATTTTACAAAAAACACACATTGGTGGTTCAAAAATTCATTTTTCAATTTCCTTTTTTTTTTTTTCATTAATTTCGACTCCTGTTGTATTTGCTTATATAACAGAATTAAGTGGCATAAAATGTGTGAAAAAATAGATCTGGAAAATCTAACAAAACTCAGTTAAATTGCAAGCTCGGGAGAATAAACATGTCAGGCAACGTAACGAATTCTGCATTTTTTGAAAAGCATAACTTGACGGAAAACTTACTAAACTTACTCTTCCTCGTTCCCTAGTTAATTTTTTAGTCCATACTCTTTGAGCAATAACCTTTTCAAAGAATGACGAGCCGGACTTAGGTGAGTATATTCAGGAATTTCATTTAATAAATTAAAAGGTTCCACTTCTCCAATGACCTTTTCAAAACACAAATTTGTATTCGACCAAAGGTCCTGAGAAGGATCTAGAGAAAGTGGCCTAGAAGAAGATTTTAAAATGTTTAAGCAGCTTGAAACCGGGCACTAAAGTTTCCTTTTCCAATATGCTTGTGGACTTGATTTAGTGTCTCGTAGATCTGCCACAGCAGACGCATAAAAGGCGGTACAACCTGACAACAGTGCTTTTCAAAAAGCGTAAAGTTTTGCCGTGTTCTCGGCGCAAAGTAGATTGGTTCTTTAAATTTTTGCTGTTGATAATATCATGGCTGTTAAGATACATATCACTATAAACTGCACCAAAAAATAGAACTCTTTGTATAAAAACAATATCACTTTCTTGATAAGTTATTACCGGTTACCAAATTTCATTACAGAGGGCACCATTTGTTTAATAGAAGCGGAAGTTACTCTATTAGACGGTACGAAATAACAAGAATGTAAGAACCGAAAATTGCTCAAGCATGATGTACTTATTGGCCGTTATCGTGCATAATAAAATTCAGTCTTGATGAAACAGCAGTTTGAACTTTTCATGTTGCAGTCGTTCAAATGAGGTCACCGCTGAATCGAAAGCAGTAACACCCCGGTAATAAGTGGTGCTGCAGTAGGGTAAAGTAGGTAAGAACAGTGATAAGGTGGAAATGCATTTTTGGTGACATTCCCGGTTTTGAAGTAGCTTAGGTTTATCTTCACTCGTCTAAATTTTCATAAGAGTTGCTTAATTCTTCACTTGAGAGCAGGAAATTTTTAACTTGACAGGTGCAACCAGTTTTTTAAGCATAAATTATAAAGAAGTTTATAAAGAAGAAATTACTGCATTACGAAAAATATCGCTATAAATACGAACCAGTTTCTTCTTGCCTTCCTCAGTACTGAAAACGGAATCGTCAAGAAGACTACGCACGTTATCCACGTCCCCTTTTTCAACATACTGCGCAAGTTGGCCAATCTTACCGCTATTCATCTATAAAGAATAGAAGCTTTGATACCAGATATTTTAGTAAACAGAAAATTTGCAGAACGTATAAAAATAATTCTCGTTTATTAAATTTCTAATTTACTACAGAAATTTTTAAGAAAATTAGGAAACGCGATAATCAACTAATATTTCCTTATAAAATCATGTAACATTTCAAAATATGTAGTCAAAAATGAAGAAATTACGAGCAGGTAAAGCAGTCGCAAACAGAATGTTAACCATCTATCTTCTTATCAGTTGTGCGTTTGTTACATTACGATTGAGCGGGGAGGGCTATCAAAGGTGAAATGAGCTGCACGGGCTTTGAAGGACGGTCGTGATTGGCTACTTACCTTTTATGCATTCTATTGGATCGACAGTTTTTGTCTCAAAATTTTCCTTTCAGAAGAGTTGCTCGTATTCGCCATTCATTTTCATTTAAAAGTAGGTTGATTAATGTATCGTCACAAAAACTTTTTCGGAGACTTTTTGTACCGTGGATTACAAAAGAACTCGTGGGACTAACAAGTTTTTAGGGTACGGTTAAGGAATAGAAATGTACACTCATGAATTTTAAATTCTGTATTAAATTAGTTCTTCAGAAATTCTAAACGGCAGTTAGTTATCTTAACGCAAGATCTAACTTCCTGTACATCAGCTCACTGTTATAAGCGCTTTAAAGATTTTTTGAAATATTGCACATATCTGTTCTGCACTTCTTTAGCTAAATCCATAGCCCGTAAGTGAGAACTATCCTAAAGTAAATTGAACTTTTACTTCTTATTATTTTTCAGCACTTCAGTGTAACGAAAGCAAGTAAGAGACAACTTGATAAATATTTATATCCAAAAGTCCAAAAACGGAAGAATA